GGGGGGGGGGAGAGAGAGAGGGAAAGAGAGAGGAAGAGAAAAGGCTTCAGGAAAGACACTCCTACTGTCCTCTCTTTGAAAAGCATGTGCATTGCTCATGTACACAGTACACCAGGCAGAGTGCTTGGCGCAGTTTAGATGAAATCTGCCGCATTCTCTTTAATATGTAAATAATGAAGACTTCTCTCCACTGCTGATGGATCTGACGCAGATTATGAACACTCGCAGGCTCCGGTTTGCCGCTGTGAAGAATCTGTCAGCCGCAGCCTGCGCTCTCACCTGATCCACGCCACGTCTTGGCTGTGTCTATATATTCCTCCAAGCATCTGACGCCTCTCTGCAAGCGCGCCGTCTCTTCTTCCATCTCGAATAAGCTGAGCTCGGGGCTTTCCGCTACAAACTGAGAGGTGATTAAGGAAGACAAGCGTCAGTGTGAAAGTTTTATCCTACGCGTTTTCAGCCGATGAGTCACTGAAAACCTGAGGCTCGCCAGATGTTAAAAAGGAACGCCTTTAGGGCCCAATCACAGCACAGCCTTGTGCTAAATACTCCGTCCATGCTACAGTACCATGCACTAAGTGCGTTGCATTGCCATTCATTTGAATGGGACCCCCAAAATGCATTACGTTTTTTCACCACAATGCACGGTATTGCAACACTGGGCATTGGGGTGCCAATTAAATATGTGCGGGGTCGTTCAAACGAATGCAATGCACTTCAACGCACAGCCACCGGGATGTGCCTTGACGTGCCATTCAAATATATGCAGTCATTCAAATGAATGCAATGTGCTTCAACACACAGCCACCGAGATGTGCCTTGGAGTGCTATTCAAGTGAATGCAATGTGCTGCAACGCACGGCCACCAGGATGTGTGTGGGGGTGCTATTGAAATGAATCTAATGCACGGCCACCAGGATGTGCCATGGGGTACCATTTAAATCAGTGGCAATGCACCTAGTGCAGCAAGCTGGGTGCGCTGTACGACAGTGTGTGCTAAATGCACGTATTGTGATACTATGACAGAACATCAATAAAGGAAGATGACACCATGGTGTGCAGGTATCTTCTTCCTAGCTACTTGAATGTGGTGCCGCCCGCATGTTACCACAACACTCAACAAGAAGATAAGGGGACATACCAGTTAGGTGTGCGGTGGGTTATCGCTAAGATTCAAATTAATAGCAACGAACGTGTAGCATGGTACGGCAAGCTAGGTGCACTGTGCCATTGTGTGCTGAACACAGTATCCCTGCATTTAGCGCAATGCTATGGTGCGAACGGCCCTTAATGTCATGAAGATCCTAACTAAACTACATTGTGTGTGATAAAGCACTGTGGGAGCACTTTTCCAAAACTGGAGCAGACAGAATCTGGAGCAGCTGTACATAGTAACCAATCAGCTTCACTCTTCATCTTGTTCAGTTAAGCGTTGAAAATGAAACTGGAAGCTGATTGGTTGCTCCAGAATATGTCTGGAGCTCCAGTTTACGTAAATTCCCTCTGCTGTACCAAGTCTGCAGTCTGCGACCATCTCACGTACCATGTCTGCAGTCTGCGACCATCTCACGTACCATGTCTGCGACCATCTCCCGTACCAAGTCTGCGACCATCCCCCGTAGCGTGTCTGCAGTCTCTGTCCATCTCCCGTAGCGTGTCTGCAGTCTCTGTCCATCTCCCGTAGCGTGTCTGCAGTCTTTGTCCATCACCTGTGTCATGTTTGCAGTCTCTGACCATCACCTGTATAATGTGTGCAGTCTCTGTCCATCACCTGTATCATGTGTGCAGTCTCTGTCCATCACCTGTATCACGTGTGCAGTCTCTGACCATCTCTCTGTAGCAGGTCTGCAGTCTCTGACCAACTCCTGTACCATGTCTGCAGTCTTTGTCCATCTCCTGTACCATGCCTGCAGTCTTTGTCCATCACCTGTGTCATGTTTGCAGTCTCTGACCATCACCTGTATCATGTGTGCAGTCTCTGATCATCACCTGTATCATGTGTGCAGTCTCTGACCATCTCTCTGTAGCAGGTCTGCCATCTCTGTACCATGTCTGCAGACGTTGTCCATCTCCTGTACCATGTCTGCAGTCTTTGTCCATCACCTGTGTCATGTTTGCAGTCTCTGACCATCACCTGTATCATGTGTGCAGTCTCTGACCATCACCTGTATCATGTGTGCAGTCTCTGACCAACTCTCTGCAGCAGGTCTGCAGTCCCTGACCATCTCCTGTAGTATGTCTGAATTCACTGATTATGTGTGGCCCTCTGGGGATGTCAGGGGCCGCTCTTGAGGCCTCCTACATGAAGTGAACCAACACCAGCCTATAGCTCAACAGACTACATGCTGTCAAGAGGGATGGGCAACCGACTACCTCACGCTTATGTACGTTGGAGTAGGTCTCGTTCTGGGTGGCATTATGTGACATGCTATGTTACCAAGGTGAGTAGCAGACATCACCATTTCATACAGTTTGATTGAAGGTAGATCCCGATATCGGCGCACTTGCCGCTCACATTTTAGAGTGATATAATACTCCCTAGTCTGGAGGAGAAAGCCGCAAGCCGTGGATGTCATTTTTCTAATAAGAAAGAGAACATTTGATTAAGAATCGAGGAATACACTAATAGATTTCTTACATTCAGCCTGTGGGCTACACGGCGTGGACGGATCAATCTCCCACTGTGACTATTGTATTCTGACAGGGAACAATGGAAGCAGCTGATTGGCTGCAGTTAGAGTACAGCCCGGCTCCTTCGGTAAACGTTGATTGAGTAAATCGACGTTTGTGGAGGTGACGGGACCATCCATGGAAGGATTTTGGCTGATTCCCATGAATCGGTTGAAATTCTAACAGTGCTTGGCCAGCCTAAGTCTCCCTGTAGTAGCAGGAGTGTGGAATTCCTATCGCCCGGCACCCAGGACATGCAATTCTGGGCGGGTGTTTCTTTTCTAAATTTAGCCCTGCTTTGGGCAAGCAGGCTAAATAAAAAGTGGGGGAGCCGTTGCTCGTTTTGTTCAAGCGATCTCCACCCACTGCCACCCTTCTGGGAGACCCAGAACCACAGCAAATTACTTCAGGATGGAGAGCAGGGAGCAGTCCGATCTGCACTGTGTAATCATTGAGACAGTGGCGCTGTACTCGCAGCACTTCCTGCTTTAGCTATCACAACCCAGGCTGTATAGAAGATCGACCACAATGCTGTGCTCGATCTTCTGTATTGGAGGTCAGGCTCCATAAAGAGAACCTGTCACCTCCAAATGCTATCACGTAGGGGCTTGTTAACCTCTGTGTGATAGCAATAAAGTTAGAGTAGAATTAAAGACTGGGTTTTTTTTTGTGTGGAATATATCTAATGCCCAAACATAAAAAAAAAAAAAAAAATTGGACAACACCAACAAACTTACCTGTGTCAGCGCCGCTCGCCCGGCTCCCGAACGCTGTGAAGAAAGAAGTGTAGGCGGGCGCATGCACAGTCCAGATCGACGGAGGGGAGAGGAGGAGAGAAACGCTGAAGCTAGATGGACGCAGCCAGAAGCGCACACATCGGACAGACACCATGGGACCCAAGGAGTCTGCGATGGATCAGAGACTGGCACCAGCATTGGACAAGTAGATTGTCATGAGGAACAGGTAGATTGTCATGGGGGACAGGTAGACGGTCATGGGGACAGGTAGATTGTCATGAGGGGACAGGTAGACGGTCATGAGGGACAAGTAGACGGTCATGAGGGACAAGTAGACGGTCATGAGGGACAAGTAGACGGTCATGAGGGACAAGTAGACGGTCATGAGGGACAAGTAGACGGTCATGAGGGACAAGTAGACGGTCATGAGGGACAAGTAGATTGGGCCCCCGGCTTTAGTCCTTGGACAAGAAGTGTTTTAAAAAAATGTCCACACCCCTGAGCAGAATTGTGTCCTTTCACCATGAGTCAGTATGTTTTTAGTAATTCAGTTAGAGTTTACATCTACTTTAAACAATTTGTCCTCTTCAGGACTTCTGAGCGGCTACGAAGCAATTTTAGTCTAAACCTGAAGGAAGTATCTTATTTCCAGTCTCCCTATATAATCAGCAGCGGCAGCCCAGCTAATGAAAGCATCAGATGTTCCCAGCATAAACATGCCGGCCACGCATCAAGGATATCCCTCCCCCAGCATCTTGCCTTATTGATAAAACACAATTTATTTAACTTGAACACTGCTTGAACTATTTGTTGTTGGGCTCTGCTTGTGGGCAAATTACCTTCATGTATCGGTAATTGTTCCAGATCACCCAAATCCCCCTTTGAACGTAACCAATTAAAACGCTAATAGAGCCATCGCGATAATTTTTTCAGAAAACAAACGTCAACACACATTGATATGCACAGTCACACCGAGGCCCCGCCGCAGCTGTTAACCTGCAGTCAGGCAGCCTGAAGGGAGACGGGCAAATATTAGCATATATTAATATCCGCCGATGCAAAACACACTTATTTAATGGCCCCATAAATGTTCCCGTCACGTGTGTGCGACAATGTGACAGACCGGTCAGTGGCACGGCACATCTGTTAGCCGCATCTGATTACAATCGGCGCTTTATTCTCTCAGGACCCTGGAATGGGGCTCTTACGTCAAGCGGCAGGAAAAGGATACTGTTGTTTGCAGCTGCTGGATAAAGGAGGGCCTGGAAGCAGGAACACGGGCTCCCATCTCAAAGTACTTCTCCCACAACCTACAAAAAGACAGGAAGACGGTATAGTTATCAAGGCACAGAATGAGCGCATGCCGTTTCCTTACAGCCCTGTCTTAGTGATCCCGATGAGGAAGAACAAAAAAGGTTTTAATGCAGCTCCTATATGGAGACCTCGGGCGTAACCCCGCCGTCTTGACAAATAGGACGCGGTGAGGAAGTAATAAACAAAGCCATTTTTTCCTTTTCTTACGTATATATCGTTCACATGTGTCTGTACAGGTTCTTGGCATTGAAGTCATGACATCCTGTCTATAGCAGATGTACAAAGGGGGTGCATACCAGACTACAAAAATGCACCAAAAACCTATATTGTATTTAAGAGGTGGCTACGCAAGATAACCAAATGAAGCGCCTTTCATACCCACCTGGTCTCATGGTTATATAACTGAACTAAAAGGGTTTACAGCTGAACTCCAATTAAACAGCTCAATGCACTTGCCAAAAAAATTGATATTTTTGTCTACACAGGTATACACAGCTCCGTTCCAAAGCACAGTTCTGCGTAGCATGGGAGGGAACCTGATCCTTTCTGATACAGCTTCGCTTTCACTTACAGGTCTCCTTCCCACCCCTGGTCAGTGACTGCATAGTGAAAGGAGAAGCAGCAGACTGTTGAGCTCATCTCTCTGTGCCGAAGCACAGTCTTGTATGGCAAGGGAGAGAAACTGATCCTTTTCTGCTGAAGTTTCACAGTCACTTACAGGTCTCCCTCTCACCCCCTTGTCAGTGACGGCACAGTGAAAGGAGAAGCAGCATGGGAAGGAACCCGATCCTTTCTGCTACAGTTTTGTTTTCACTTACAGGTCTCCTTCCCACCCCCGGTAATTGACTGCACAGTGAAAAGAGAAGCGGCAGACTGTTAAGCTCATCTCTCTGTGCCGAAGCACAGTCCCTTATAGCAAGGGAGGGAACTTGATCCTTTTCTGCTGAAGTTTAATTTTCACATACAGGTCTCCTTCTTACCTCAGTCAGTGACTGCACAGTGAAAGGAGAAGCATAGACTGTTAATCTCGTCTATCCGTCACTCTGCTCTCTCCCTATCGGCATGCTCCATGCACTGCAACACAACTTCTTGTCTCCTTGTTTTCTTTTCCCTTCCCCCCTCTAAGCCCTGCAATCCGCAGGAGTTTGCATGTTCTCTCTGCGCTTGGTGGGTTTCCCTCCACAATCTAAAGACATGCTGGAAGGTTAATTGGCTCCTGCCTGAATTGGCCCTATGTATGTGAGGTAGGGACCTTAGACTGTAAGCTCCTTGAGGGCAGGGACTGATGGGAATGTGCACTATGTAAAGATCTGTGTAAATTGGCGGCACTATACAAAAACCTGTACTGAATAAAATATGAAATATCTATGTGGAGCTCAGCTTTAGGTTTGATTGCAGTTCTGCATTAAATAGACTGACACCAGCAATGTAAAGAGTGAACGAGCTTCCATCTTCCAGAAGCTTTTGTATGGCAAGACACAGTAGCAATTCCCAATGGGCACCAAGATGAAATTTCTAACAGCAGAATTATTATAGTAGGAATTGTAAAAAAAATACATAAGTCAGGAGCAGAATTTAGATCAGTATACAGGTATATTCTATTTATGTGAAGGGTTTCGCTGGGTATTATTGGACACATTGTGAGCTTAAGCTGACTTTAATTAAAAGTTACTATAATAAACCTCTCTAAGAATGTAAAAAAATAAATAAACATTGTTTAATCCTTTCCCTGCCACAACCCTTTTTTCATTTTTTCTGCACAAATGTTAAAATGTACATTTTAGGCCTGAAGATTATTTGAAAACCCCCAAAACATAAGTGAAAGCAGAGAACCTGTAGAATGGACAGGGGGAATCTTGCCGTTCATCCTCCCCTCGTCCATTCACACAACACCTTGCATTTTGTGAAAATAATACTTTTTTTGTGAATGGGCAAAAGAAGAGGAAGAGGAGGGAGAACTGGAGCCCTCCACAGATGATATTGTTAACCCCCCCGCAGTGCCGGAAGATCATCAATCTGTCTAGAATCTGGCATCACTGAAGGGAGGACTTGTACAGTAAGCAGCAGCCATCCACACATAGGATACACTTAATTGCAGGCCAATGATGTGACTTCTGATGTGTATATTAAAAAAAAAATAGTGATGTAATACACATCACTTCTGCATTCACAGCCCGGACGGAGATCGAGCACATATAGATGATCGGTGGGCTATGTAGCCGCTAATCGCCTATATGTGTGCAATTATCGGGTCTTTCCTGCCTGTGCGTGCGCGCTAGGGGGCGCGCGCGAGCAGAAAAAAATTGACGTCTGGAGACGGCAACCCGCCAATGCTGCAGTGCCGTCCGTCCGTTTTTTTACTACGGGCGGACGGCAAGTGGTTAAAGATATTGAGCTCACCTGCTATTCTTTTTGTATAGTTGCCGATACTTGATTGGCAGTTTAAGTGTTGATCTGTGGAAAAGAAAACGCACATTAAATAAGTGCAGGACAAACCTGCTTGGATTGTTCCTGGGTGTCCTTGTCTCCTGCATGGTTTACCGCTGCCACTACCAGTTGAGCCTGCCCCCATTACTACATACTGTACACTATATTGCCAAAAGTATTGGGACACCCCTCCAAATCATTGGATCCAGGCGAAATTTCCTTGCTACTAAATATTCCATGGTCACCTGTTAGTGGTATTATAACAAAGTGGAAGCAACTGGGAACAACAGCAACAGCCACGAAGTGGTAGGCCACGTAAAATGACAGAGCGGGGTCAGCGTCCGTTGAAGCGCAGAGTGCGCAGAAGTTGCCAACTGTCTGCAGAGTCAATAGCTACAGACCTCCAAACTTCGTGTGGCCTTCAGATTTGCACAACAGTGCGTAGAGAGCTTCATGGAATGGGTTTCCATGGCCGAGCAGCTGCATCGAAGCCTTACATCACCAAGTGCAATGCAAAGCGTCGGGTGCAGTGGTGTAAAGCACACCGCCACTGGACTCTAGAGAAGTGGAGACGTGTTCTCTGGAGTGACGAATCACACTTCTCTGTCTGGCAATCCGATGGACGTGTGTGGGTTTGGCGGTTGCCAGGAGAACGGTACTAAGGGGGGGATTATGGTGTGCGGTTGTTTTTCAGGGGTTGGGCTTGGCCCCTTAGTTCCAGTGAAGGGAACACTTAAGACATCAGCACACCAAGACATTTTTGACAATTTCATGCTCCCAACTTTGTGGGAACAGTTTGGGGATGGCTCCTTCCTGTTCCAACATGACTGCGCACCAGTGCACAAAGCAAGGTCCATAAAGACATGGATGAGCACGTTTGGGGTGCAGGAACTTGACTGGCCAGCACAGAGTCCTGACCTCAACCCCATAGAACAACTTTGGGATGAATTAGAGCGGAGACTGCGAGCCCGGCCTTCTCCTCCAACATCAGTACCTGACCTCACAAATGGTCAAACATTCCCATAGACACACTCCTAAACCTTGTGGACGCCTTTACAGAAGAGTTGAAGTTGTTATAGCTGCAAAGGGTGGGCCAACTCAATATTCACCCCTACGGACTAAGACTGGGGTACCATTAAAGTTCATGTGTGTATAAAGGCCGGCGTCCCAATACTTTTGGCAATATAGTGTAGATTTATAAAACCATTGTAGAATCTGGAGTAAGCAATGCATACTTTACATGGGTAAAACCAAAGCCAAACAAGTCATAGAAGCCCTCTCTGCAAGGTTTAAAAAAAGAAGTCTATAGATCAGAGACTTTTGTTTCTTACCCTATATCTTTCAGAGTCAGAGCTTTCTGCTGTCTTTGATCTTGCTTGGAAGCCTTCACATCTGTAGCCGTCAATGTGCTGGAAACATATTCCATTTTTAGAACCGAAGATGGTTGCAAGTTTCCTGGTGTGCTGTCTGTCCTGCTGGGAACTTCCTTGCTTTCTGCCGACCTGTCTTTGCCTATTTCTGAGGTTAGAGGTCTTAAGGGAGGTGATTTGGCAGTGTTAGCAGTTGACGCCGGCCTGTCTTTGCCACCATTGCCCTTTTCTGAGGTTAGCGGTCCTAGGGAAGGTGGTTTGACCGTGTTAGCAGTTGATGGTGGTCTTGTAGACCCTCTGTCCCTTCGTTTCTCTGGCATAGTCTTGTATGGAGGCTTCACCTGGTAGGTCTTGGGTTTGGTCCCTGTATATACCAGCTTCTGTAAAGGTTTCACTGGCTTTTCTTGGGTCGTTATATAAGCTGGTATTGCCTGCGTAGAGGGATGGGTTTTAGGCGATTCTGTTCTTGCGCTTCCTCGCACTTTTAATGCTTTCTCCAGGGCTTTATTTAATAGTTCCACTTCCTTGACCTCCAATGGAGATGGTTGACTCTCTAAGAGAAAGATACACAAAACAGAGTTTAAGAATAATACCTCTTTCCATCTTTTATAGTATATCTAAAGCCAAAACTGTGGGTACTGTTACAACCCGTCAGGTTTTTGGTTGCTGTCTGTGTGCCTGGAAATTTACTGTCTCTATGCGTCCTGGTGACCATTGTCTTTCTTATGGAAAAGGATGAGCAATCCAAACAGTTTTAGTTGTCACCGGAACAGGAATAGAGGCTAATTCTTACAATGGAGACACCTGTTGTGCTGACATAAGATTTCCCCTCTCTCTAAAGGTAGCCATACACGTATCTAATTGTGATCAATTGCAAACAATTAATTAATCATCAATATATATCATACATTGTCAGTTGGAGGAGGTGCAGCTCGGACTTGAGTTTCTTGAGGCGAGAATAGGGGAGGTGGGATGCCGTTCTGGACACATCCAAAAGGGGATCAAGTGCAAAGTTAAAGTCACCCCCCACTATTAGCAAGCCCTCTTCGAACTCGAGGAGAAGCGGCACTATACGCTGCAGGAAAGAGACCTGATCTGAGTTGTTCTCGCCTTACGATCAGATGGAAAGGGTGACCCCATCGATAAGTAGCAGAAGCAGAGCGGATTTGATCTAGCAAGGGGCGGACTAGGCGTCGCATGCGGAGAGTATGGCGGGAGAGGTCCGGCATGATGCGGATGGTAGCACCATCAAAGTCAGATGAGCCATGCCTCCATGCCTGCCTGATGATCTCCTCTTTTTGGGAACTCTTAAGACATCAGCATACCAAGACATTTTGGACAATTTCATGCTCCCAACATGACTGCGCACCAGTGCACAAAGCAAGGTCCATAAAGACATGGATGAGCGAGTTTGGGGTGGAGGAATTTGACTGGCCTGCCAGAGTCCTGACCTCAACCCAATAGAACACCTTATGAATTAGAGCGGAGACTGCGAGCCCGGCCTTCTCGTCCAACATCAGTAGCTGACCTCACAAATGTGCTTCTGGAAGAATGGTCAAACATTCCCATAGACACACTCCTAAACCTTGGGGACGCCTTCCCAGAAGAGTTATAGTGGCAAAGGGTGGGCCAACTCAATATTGAACCCTACGGACTAAGACTAGGATGCCATTAAAGTTCATGTGCGTGTAAAGGCCTGCGTCCCAATACTTTTGGCAATATAGTATATATGGTATTGATTGAAAATACATCAGAAATGATCTATTGCAAACAATTATTTTCAGTAATTGATCTGGAATATCATTGACACCCAGAGATATTTGTTCAACCGATCAGAAACTATTGATAAAAGTCCGCCGCGGCAACTGACCTGCCAACGCCGGAATCAATGGAAGGCTTACTAAACTGATCGAATGAAGGGTCTGTGATTTACAATTCAACACGTGCAGCATTGATTGAAAATACATCAGAAATGATCTATTGAAAACGATCATTTAATCAATCTGTATTATGATCGGTTGTCTGACACACGCGGATAGTTGAATAATTGATCAGACATGACTGATAACATTCAGCTATGGCTGATCAAATTGCCGACAGTGAGATCAACCGTAAGCTTGTTAATTCAATCAATGGAGGACTTACAATCCTTTTCATTTTAGTCGCATTTAATGATTGATTAAATTATCATATTGATGTGTCACCACCTTTATATAGAATAAGGCATGCCCTCAAATGGCGCAGCAAATGACATGATCCTGATTGCGTTACTCTATTACCTCTTGCAGTCCTTACATCGGCACCTATGGACATTCAAATATCCACATGAATAAGGTATCATGCTCTGGTGCAGTGACACTGGGATGCCTAGAACATATGAACACTTATGCCAGCCCAGGCTTGTGACATCTGGACCACTACCAATTAACACCCCAGGAACAAATCAGTACAACGCATCAACAGGGGGTAATAGAACACTGCCACCTACTGGCCAAACTTTATGGCTGCTACGCAATACATACAGAAAAAAAAAAAAAATGAATACTGCAAAAATAAATAATTCAACAGTGTAATACCTCTTCAAAATATAATTAAAGGTTTCAAGGTGGCCAACTTACTGGTGTTTTGTAAAAAAGGGTAAAGAAAATGCCAGCTGAGAGAAAGTGAATTAAAAATGAATTACACTGAGGCGTAAAATGATAATATTTTGATGAAAGCTTCTCATTCTCCAGACAATTGGCCCTATAAATAGAACTCAGACGATAGCATATTCTGCTCACAATCCAGGCGCAGAAGGAGAGAAAGCAGATCATCACTGTGTGAGGAATTAGCATACATTAACTGGCGCTCCACTAAACGCGTATCATATCGCTTGTCTGGGAGATGGGTTTCATTGTGACGGCGCCCAACGTGCTCTCTGCAATATTATAAAGTTTGAGGGAAATTAAATGGATTTCAATAGCCTTTTGGAAGAAAGATTACTACCCCGCTGCTCTGCTTTCTCTACAGTAAAACATTGGCCTTATTACAGTAATAAAACAAAGATTAACCCGTCTGCTTCCCGGCCAGCATTTGTTTTTTGATGGTAGCGCAAGTCTACTGCAGTGATCCTTAGTCTTTTTTCAGTCATGGCACCCTTTAAAAGTATGCAAAATATTGAGGCACCCCAGTTAAAAACGTACACAAATTAAATGTACAAAGAAAAAAAGACATGTGGCCCCTCCAAAATTCATACCAGACCCTTATCCTAGATAGGGGTCTGGTATGGATTTTAAGGGGTAGACTCAATGCAAAACACACAAAATGGGATTCCCTTTTTATCATTAACATCAGAGTCCCCCTTTCATATCAGAAGCCCCCTTCATATCATGAGTCCCCCCAATTTACATCAGAGTTCTCCTCCTTTTTACATCAGAATTTGTCCTTCACATCAAAAGCCCACCTGGCATGATGCTGTGTGAAACTTTCAAGGCACCCATGAGGAAGCCAGAGGGTGCCGTGGTTGGGAAAGGCTGGTCTATTGAGAATAACTGCATCATGGGAAATACAAGGCGGTGGTCCTCCCTTTTAGATTGGAAGGCCTCACGGGCAGGACCCTCCTTACCATCTTGTCTTGAATTGTATTGTGATTGTAATGTCTTCCTTATATTGTAAAGCGCTGCGCAAACTGTTGGCGCTATATAAATCCTGTATTATAATAATACTAATAATATGAATGTGGTAAATATAGGAGCTGCCACTAGGGACATGTTGTGCAGCTTTTCTCAACCTTGTTTCAGTCATGGCACCCTTTAAAAGTAGGCAAAATATTGAGGCACCCCAGTTAAAAATGTATAATAAGTGAATGTAAAAAAAGGACGTGTGGCCCCTCCAAAATCCATACTAGACCCGTATCCTAGATAGGGGTTTGGTATGGTTTTTAAGGGGGGATGCAATGCAAAAAACAAAATGGGATTCCCAATTTACATCAGAGTCCCCCTTTCACATCACAAGTTCCCCACTTCACATCAGGAGTCCCCCCTTCTTTTTACATCAGAATTCACATTGGAAGCCCACCTGCACAATGGAAAGGCATCATACTGTGATAGATAGATAGATAGATAGATAGATAGATAGATAGATAGATAGATAGATAGATAGATAGATAGATAGGATAGAGGTGTGAATATTTCAAGGCACCCATGAGGAAGTCAGAAGGCACCCTAGTTAAGAAAGGCTGGCCTACTGAGAACTGCAGAATGGGAAATACAAGGAGGTGGTCCTTATGAATGTGGCCAAATATGGGAGCTGCTATTGGGGACTTGTTGTGAAGGTATTCCATTAATTTGCATGCATTTGTCAGTGAACTCTGAAGTCTCTCAAACCGATGTCAAATGTAAGCATAATGCACCTGAAAGCAAAAATTGCATTTGCCCATTGGCACAAGTCTAAAGCCTACATAAAACACTCAAAATATTGGTTGGGTGCACAGAGGGAAGTTGCCCCACACCACCTATAAGTACATACACTGCATGGCCAAGAACAAAGTCACACACTTTGATTACGGCACACATTCCCCGTGGCATTGTTTCGATAAGCTTAAGACTGCAAGACTAAGTAGTACATTGGGATCAGCTTCAGATTGAAGGTTGTTGTGTTTTTTTTTAGTTTAATTGGCTGATTTTTGTCTGGATTTCTACTTTAATATCAGATCTGAACATTTGGAACAAGCTGGTGTCTGCATGACCCAGACCCGGGCATTTTACTGCCCGCATGCCATATCCAGCGCATTGGCTGTCCCTGTCTGGCCCGCGGTCCGATCGCTTACAAACAATCTAAAGAGGCACTCTAGGCTGGGTTCACAACTGAGCGTTTTTTGTATGCTTGTTTTTTTTCGCGTTTTTTCATTCAGTGAAACGCGCGTTTCACTGGCGGTATGATTTTTTTGTGGGTTTTTTTCCTTTATTTTCTCTATTTTTTTTAAAAAACTTTTTTTTTCTTTTTTTAGTTTCACTTTTAAACTTCCCGCCGGCTCCGCCCCCCTGCGATGCGGCCGCTCGCAAGGGACGGGACACGGAAGTCGGCAGCCGCCGAAGACACAGCGGGGATCGCGGACAAGGTAAGACCTGTACGCTGTATTCCCGAGTGTGGCTCGGGGTTACCGCTTTGTTAACCCCGATCCACACTCGGGAATACCAATAGAAACGCGCGGCAAAACACCCCAAAAGAAGCTCCTGTACTTCTTTGGTTGTAGGGCGTTTTGCAGCGCGTTCCTACGCGCTGTAAAACGCCCTGGTGGGAACCATGCCATAGGCATTCATTGGTTTTCACATGTTGAGCGTTTTACAGCGCGTAGGAATGCGCTGTAAAACGTCCAGGTGTGAACCCAGCCTTACATTAACTATGAAAATAGGGGGGCGCTCTGATGAGCACAATCAAGGACACAGGGGACACTGTGATGTGGACAACTAATTATAACTTCTACTCATAGGAGTGCCCACCCACATCAGCTGCCCCCATCAGAATTCCAACTTACAATAATTACAAAAGTGGGGGGCACTCTTAAGGGGACAACCAATGTAAGGGTACACTCTTAAGGGGACAACTAATCATTAGTTGCATTAATTGGTGTGTCCCCTACATTAGTTGACCCCAATCAGTTTTTTTATCAATTTACGTGTGTGTGTGTGTGTGTGTGTGTGTGTGTGTGTGTGTGTGTGTGTGTGTACCTTCACAGTAATGTGTTGGCCCTCCACAACAGTCCCATTTTCTCATGTGGCCCCTTGAGAATATTAATTGCCCACCACCTGGCATAGCCTGTGACACTCCATATTGGAAACAGTTGGAGGACATTTGTACAGTACATACAGAAAACGATTTTGGGAGGTGTGGATTATACTATACAGAACTGAAAACTAAACTCTCATTTAATGCAGTCTAGCATGAACAAGATCAATAGGGAAATATTGACTTTTCATATAAGCTGCATGCTGTTAAGAACATTACAAAAAAGCGTCCTTTGTGCACGTAACCTAAAAGAACCCACAGACAGAATATTCGGAATTTGAGACGGGACGCTGCAGTCAAATAATAGGGGAACTAGCCGTCTTTCATGCCACCTGTTTGTCAGATCTCTGCCAGCAGATAAAAATATTCACTTATCAAATGACATCCAATGTGAACAGCATGGTGTGAAGAGTTTTTCTACGTACAAAGAACATGAATCTCAGCAGGGCACTCCAACTGATGTAGCCAGGCATGAAATTACCAGACAGAAAGGTGGCACAAAGAGACACGGTAATATAGTCCTTTACATAAACGCCTCTGT